ATTGCTCCGGCCGGACAGGGCATCACAGTATGGTAAGGGGCGTAACATTTCCGTCACACGCTTGAGGTATTCGGCCAATCACAACGCACTGGATAGCTGGCCAATCACAGCACACCTCGCTTTTTCTGACCGATGAGCTTTGTAAAAATCGACACGTTTCAGAAAGGCGGGGCATAGAGGAGAAACAATAATGTACAGTATGTGGAAAATAATTTTTTCACGTTTTTTTAACCTTAAACCGCATAAACACATTTCATTACACCAAATACACAAAATAATGTTATTTTTAGCAACATCATATGACCCCTTTAACTGATCAGGAAAAGCTGCCGCTTACCCATGCTCTATTGCAAGCTTAATGAAGCCCTTCTTATTGGCCAGGTGAACAGTGTAGTCACCAGGATGGGCATCCAAAGCCTCAGGGGCACCGCCAACTACAATGACCACAACGTTCCCACCTCCCTTCCGCCGGAGTAGATAGCTGGCACTCTCCTTGTCCGATGGAACCAGGCCTGGAACACACATACAAACACACACACACACACACACACACACACATTTTTGAAAAGTTAGAACAGCTGGTGTAACAGTCTGTAATAACAGCTCAGAAAAAAGCTACATTGCCAAAATAAAATAATAAATGTACATCATGCTATTTATACTCATTTTGCCTGGTGTAAATAGTAAAACAATATATAAAGTAATATTTTGAGGCACTTTATATCTTAAATATTGTGGACTCTGTGTGATAAGGTTTGTCTAATAATGTTAATAAATGTACATTTTTACAGCATTCTATGATCAGGGCAGCTGACCTGCAGACATAATGTAGTCTCTGAAGAAGGGGGCTCTGAACCAGAGAGGCAGCATGAGAAGGTTGTATCTCAGCCCAGGGAAGAGTTTGCTAAAACCTGTCGCCTCTGTGCAGAAATTTGTAAATGCACCAGCCACAAGAACACCATGAGGATGGAAACCCAGCACATAGTTCTTCCTAGGGTCCAGATCAGCTGTCTTCACCAGCTAGTATAGAGACAAAGAAGATTGTGATCAAGTTTGATATGGTTTCTTTCATTTCTTACAAAAGGCCAGCTGTTAAGGTCAGTGATCATGTGCTGTTCATGTGCAGTGCTGTATAGGGCTCTATAATGACCTTTCATACTGATCTAGGATCTGTTAATGCTTAACTATTAATACCAATCACCAAACTGAAAGCATCAACAGAATACTAAAGCTATTTATCAGCAACACAGAGCATCAACAGTCAAATCTGACTCAAACCAGACTGGTTTGTGTTTGAGGTCGGCTATGGTAGCTTTAGCTTGACATTAACAAATGCAGGAATTTCCAAGCACCAAAATCGGAATCTCCAACACAAAAGTTTTTCAGAGAAAAACAGATGTTTTCTAAGAAAAATTATGAACTGCACTGTCAAAGGAGTGTGAAACACGTTTTCATACATTCAGTGATCGTTTAATATCCATTCCGCAGTTTATATCCACCAAAGTCAAGGACTGCGGTCAGGGTCAGGCCAGCCTCCACTTTGAAAAACACGGTCATTCTAGCCGCCACGTTATTTTGTGGTGCGCGCATATACTACGGTAATAGCGTGTAAAAAAAAACAGATCAGAGGAAAAGCGATCTTTGGCTTTCATTTATTGAGCCAGTTTCTCTGTCAATGATGAATGAATGAATGAATACGTTTTTAAAATGGTCTGATATGAATGAATGAATGAATGAATGAACGAACGATTGCATGAATAAATACATAAATAAATTTTAAAAATGGTCTGATAACATGAAAATGAATTTGTTGAGTAATATTAAATGTAGAATTTCCAAGTAATATGAAAAAAACTGTCTGATGAGAAATAACAAAATAAAAGCCTTATAAAAACTTGCAAATAATTTTTTTTATCCGTAAATTCACATAGTTATAAAAATAAAACTCCCTGTTTCCACACAAAAAAAGTTTCACTATAGTTTAACTGTACACCACTTCAGGATGTCATTTCCTCAATGTCAGGACTGTCTGATGTCCCATTACAAAATAAAAGCCTTCCAAAAACTCATATATGACCAGTTTTGTCTTTCATTTTGGATAGCTCTAAAAAGGAAACTCCCTGTTTCCACAGACCAGTTTCAATTCAGTTTCCACAAAAAAAGTTTCACTTTAGTTTAACAGTACACCACTCCAGATTGTCATTCCCCCAATGTCAGGGCTGTCTGATGTCACATTACAAAATAAAAGCCTTCCAAAAACTCATATATGACCAGTTTTTGTCTTTAGTTTTGGATAGCTCTAAAAAGGAAACTCCCTGTTTCCACAGACCAGTTTGAATTCAGTTTGACAGTCCACCACCCCAGGGTGTCACTCAGCCAGTTTCAGGACTGTCTGATGTTGCATTACAACATAAAAAATCTCCAAAAACTCATATATGACCAGTTTTGTCTTTGGTTTTGGACAGCTCTAAAAAAGAAGCTCCCTGTT